AAGTGTTAAAATGGTGGAAATTTAACAGGGAAACCTTGTATTTTAAGTGCCACAATACTGAAATAACTTCAAGAGATTGGCTTACACTCAAACAGGAAATTGACCAAATCAACTTTTGGCTTGAGATAATGAAGTGATAAAAGGAGGGGTTGGGGGAGCACCACTGTGAGTGAGAAGGAGGCAATGGAACCTCTGTTATGCTACAAGGCTGTTTCTGGAAAGTGTTCTTAATTAAACCTCTCCATTCAGTGTTCACAAACCTAAATACAATACTGAATGTGTGCCTTTGGGAACAGGTATAAAACAAAATAAAACAACAGTAACAAATTGGACCAGCAAAAGCACCTCCATCTTTTCCAGAAAAAAACCCTATACCACTGTTCTTTATTGATGGTCCTATTTCAGGCAGTAACAAGGCAATTAAGAAAATAAACTTATTGTGAAAGCAAATGAAGAAGGGACCAAATGGCACAAACAAAAACACCTAAAAATGAGCACTGTAGTTCCCCAATTCCTGCCTACTCCAATCTGTCTGACTGGGATTGAGCTCAGCTCAGCTCAGCTCTAGGACCTGGTATTTAGAACTTGACTTTAGGAGGCAAAGCTTGGTAGCAGGACCCCACAGCAAATAATAGGAAACATCTAGCCAATACGGTAATAGCCAAGACTGAGAAAATAGATGAGAATCAAGCCAACTAGCCTCAGAGTCCAAAACAGAGTAAGTAAGCACAAACAGCCTGGGATTAAACTAACAAGGGCTTTAGAAGTTGTACCAATGTACCTAAGAAAAATGTGCTCTCTCTCTTTCTCTCTCTGGAATGATTTATTTATGCAAATTTGAAACTAGATTGACATCAATCAGAGTTGCACAGGACTCAAAATGGTACAGCAAATTTTAGTTTGTACATTGAGAAGCCTTCAAGATGCTAAATAATAATAATGGTTAACATTTATAGAATGCTTTCTATGTGCCTGGCACTATCTTAGCACTTTACAAAACAAAACAAAATATTTTATGAGATAGACGCTATTGTCATCTCCATTTTACAATGACGCAGAGAGTTTAAATAACTCACGAAAGGTCAAAGGGGTTAAAAGGGGCTGTATTAGTCCCTTTTGTGTTGCTACAAGAGACAACCTTGAGACTGGGTAATTTTTAAGAAAAGAGGTTTATTTAGCTGATGGTTCCGCAGGCTGAGAAGTTCAAGGGCATGGCCCTTGCTTCTGGTGAGGGCTTTTGTGGTGTGCCACAATATGTCAGAGAAGGCCAAAAGAGAAGCAGACATAAGCAGAGAGAAAAAGACCTGAGGCATGTCCCTCGCTTACTCCTGCAAAACAGAACGGAGCCACTTGAGGAATTTTCCTTCAACACCTTCCCCTAGGCCCACCCCCAAGTACCTCCTCATTAGGTATGAAATTTCAACATGAATTTTGCTGGGGACAAACAAACCACATCCAAACTGTAGCAGTGGCAGAGCAAGGATGAGAACATGTGAAGTCTGGCTCCAACTGTTATTAACAACTACTGATTGGAGTAGCCTGGGGGGTGCCTAGATCCCAGATCTAGAATGCAAACCAACCCTGGGATGAAATTGATCTCTGGAAGAATGGACCCAAATGCAGATGCAGGGAGGAAGTCTGGTCCTGGAGGGCATGACAATAGTCAATAGGAGGTGGTACAGTCCAGCAGTCAAACCCAAAGAGGATCAGCCTGGGTTTAGGGTGTTCCAACAGGCAGGGCAAGAGCACTGGCAGGAAATTCAGATAGGCAATTTTCAGCAAGGTCCCTGGGAAAGGTTTTGTAATACTGGGGTTTAAGGTTCCCTCAGTTCCCCCAAGAGAATGTTTCTCCAGGTTCTTGGTCTCCTGCCCTCTCCAGAATGAGAGAGGGGACCACAGTGCTGTAAATACTGGATTCAAAAATATTTGTAAAAAATGATTTATTTAGAGAGGGTGAGAGAGAAACAGGAAAAGGAGAGAGAAGGAAACAGCTGACTGTCAGGCTGAGTGACAGAATCCAGAAAGATGGAATCCAGGAGAGGAAAGCAGCTTCCACACTGAGTGGAAGGGAACAGAGAGAGAAGGAGTTTAGGAGGGGAAGACAGGCTTCCACGAGAGAGTGTGGAAGGGGACTCCAGAGGGGAAATCCAGGAGAGAGAAAGATGGCTTCCATGAAGGGAGTGTTCATGGAAGGCAACCCAAACATGGAGTCCGAAGGGGTGTGGAAGAAGGGGACTTTTAACCTGGGAGGAACCCCCACCTTCTCCAAGACCCCAGGCCAATGAACGGAGTTTCTTAGAACTTCTGCTGGGGTGATTGACTCTTAGTTTCTTCCTGCACCCAGGAAATTCAAACATAAACAGTTAAATCTCCTGGATGAAGAGAGATGGGCATGGTACTCGGAAGTTCTTGCCCTTAAAACCACACCCCCTTGTGGACCCAGAGAGAGAACACCTTCCCTCATTCCCCTGCTATGAACAGGAAAGCCCAACTTCTGTTGGAACACAAGCGTCGATCCTCTTTAACTACTTCCTGCTGAAATGGGGTGTAGAAGGGGCCCTGCAGTTGAGGTTTCCTCCAGAGGGGAGCCTTTCAGGGGTGCAGGTTGATCCTGAGGTCCATGATAGAGCCCATGAGCCAAGGGCATCCTGGGTTCCAGTGGCAGAATTATTTGTGACCTTATGGTTCTATAGGAAATGAATGTGACAAGGTGGTTAAAGATGAAAAGCTCAGAGGCCAACAAATATAGACTGGTTATAAACCACACTCAGAGAGCAGAGCCAGGACAGTCAGTTGTTAAATAAGCCTTATGATACTGTTTTTGGAAGATTTTTAGCCCTGTGTTTGATTGATTCCTGATTTCTACGTTTAAAACAATACTTAACTGGTTTACAAAATAGCAGCATTTTACCTGGAAAGAGACAGGTTCCTTTCCCATTATGAAAAGGATAATCAGAGTCTGAGAGATAGCAAAGTTGAGGGTTTTAGTCCTGTTAATGCCAGGATATAAATTAGACTTAAGAGTGGTTACTTCCCTGAGGATCTTGTTGGAAGAGCAGATGTAGATCTTCTAAGGCAGGCATCCCCAAACTACTGCCCATCTTCTAAGGCAGGCATCCCCAAACTACTGCCCATGGGCCGCATGTGGCCCCCTGAGGCCATTTATCCAGCCCCCCGCCGCACTTCAGGAAGGGGCACCTCTTTCACTGGTGGTCAGTGAGAGGAGCACAGTATGTGGCGGCCCTCCAACAGTCTGAGGGACGGTGAACTGGCCCCCTGTGTAAAAAGTTTGCGGACTCCTGTTCTAAGGGCACGCAGGTGGATGAAGGGTCATCTCCTGGAACTTCAGGCTGTGGAGTGGAGGGTCTATGACTTTCCTCAGGACGTGTCCATGGCTTCAGCTGAGTGTGATGAATCCATGAGTTGATTCCCACTACCTTAACTGTGATTGGAGTGGACAGAATGACTGAAAATGGTCCTTTCCAGGATGTGCCTAGAGAGGGAGAGTCTGAGAGGAGAGAATTAACAAGCACCAAGCCTCCGGGGCAGGAGAGAAATACTGAGAAGGCCATGCCAGTGTCCGGGAGAAGATTAACTTCCTGGACTTCTATGGTCAGCTTTCCCCGGGGCTCTGTGAGGGTGATGGCTCATGCTGGCACTTGCTCCAGGGACCCTCAGTCCTGCCGTTGGACTCAGGTCAGACACCTCAGGCCCTGGGGATCTTCATTCCCGGGGACAGTGTGCTTTCCAGTGATTCCCTTGGCACAGTGGGCAAGGACGGGGTGGTGATCCATTCTCTGGGGACAATTTCTTATAAAATGTCCCTTCAGACTGCACTGGTAACAAGTTCTGCCAGACTGGCGGCTAATCCGAGCCTTTCCCTCATTTGAGCCGTGGGGTCTGCTTGCCTGAAGGCTGTGACTAAGGCTGATCTCTCCTGTTCCTTTCAGCCTGTTCCTTCTGGTCTCTATTATAAAACATCGAAGTTGCCTGGTTCAGCAATGATTCTAGACTCTGTTCTGGCCCCAAGGCCAGCTTCTGGAGCTTTCGCCTGATATCTGCTGCTGACTGAGTAATAGACTTGTCCTTTAGTATTAACTGACCCTCAATGGAGTCTCATGATGGGGTGTATTTTCTTAAAGCCTTCCACAGTCACTCAAGGAAAGCTGTTGGGTTTCTTTCCTTCCCATTGGGGGCTAGGTTTTCCACTTCGCAGAGGGTAATTTGGCTATGCTGTTTGGCAGAGAAAAATGAGTTGCTTCTTCCTTTAAGATTGTGTGTCAACTTGGTCCCAATTTTCCAGTATACATTTTAATGGAGACTTGAGCTTGGGAAGATTGGCACCCATCTGAAATCAAACACAAGAAATGCCAGCATTCCTGGTTAAAGAAATTACAGCTGCTTCGACCTAAGGCGTCCCTTGGGTAAAACAGGTACTGAAATGAAACATCTTTCAGTCAGTACCCCGAAATTTCATGTGCCCAAGATGTGTGATCCATCTTATCAGAGAGCCTCCTATGTACTGGATTTGAATCATGACCTACCAGCGTCACAGGACCACTCTCACTGCAGGACCTCCAGTGACTACCATAGAGTCATGGAATGAGATGAGCTATTGGGTTGCGTAGTCACGTACCAACGAGCCCCTATGAGGCCAGTGAGTCTCAGGAGATGGGTACCAATATTTCCCGGCACAAGTTCAATTTACACAGGCCAGATTATAAAACTGCCCCAGAAGGGTAAACTTCTAGGGAGGGGCCATTAGAGCACACAGATCAAAGAAGGCAAGCGGGCCGTGGCTGAGGCTGGAACAATACCCTCAGGACCTGGGCTTCCTCTCCCCTAACCTATTCTCCATTGTAGGAAAATGCCCTTCAGGGTGTGAAACCTGCTATTGACTATTTGGGTCCTAGAACCAGTTTAACTATCATCTTCTAGATGGAAAAGTTCTGCTGTAGAGAGAGTCAATCTTTTTTTTTTTTTTTTTTTTTTTCACTGGCTGAAGGAAAATTTTTATTATTTTTTTACAAGAAAATTTTACAATTTAACCCAGTTTTGTGGCCAGTTCTTTGGCCTTTGCCTTTTCGAGCTTGGCGATGCGAGCCACAGACTTGGGACCCAGGACATTGCCTCCCCAGTGACGTCGGATCTCATCATATCTATCGTTATAATTTGTGCGGACGGCTTCCACCAACTTGGCCAAAGCACCTTTGTCTTCCGAGTTCACATGTGTGAAGGCGACAGTGGTGCAGGTCTTCCTGTGGACCAGACGTCCCAGTCTTGCCTTCCCCTTAATAATACAGTAAGGGACTCCCATCTTACGGCACAGTGCAGGCAAGAAGACAACGAGCTAGAAGAAAGCATTAGTTGAAGAGTGTATTTTGACCAAAAGCAGTCGTTTCAAAGCTAGCTCGGTAGCAAGTCAATCTTAAGCAAGACAACTTTACACCAAACACAAAGTCCCATAGCCTTCAGCTTCCAAATTTCCCCAAAAGACTTCCCCAAATCAAGATGGGCACCATCAGGGATTTGAACCAGTAACCTTCCAGTTGCAAGCCCTACACCTTACATCTTAACCAACTATGTATACAGGCCACTTGTGTTAAGAGAAGGCAGAAAGCTTTCTTAAGCCGTATTTTGAATGAGAATGCTGCACCCTGAGGCAGTGTGGCCTGCCCAAAAGCCAGGTGGGGCTGATGGCCATCAGCCTCTTCCTTTCCCTCACCTGCACCAGCAGAGGAAAAAAGCTGCATTAACAGCTGCTGCTGGGCCGCAGTGAGTTTCCCACCCCTACGGCTTTTGGTTGCCATGTTGACCCTGCCAGAACCACCTGCGTGGTTTGGCCACTCCCCAAGCCGCTGCCCACACAGGGACCCTGGCATCCTGGGAAGTCTTTTTACACCGGAGAGGCCTGCCAGAACCATGCACCAGGCCACCACCCTCCCTGGTCCCCTGCAGGCTTCGGCTATACCTTGCCCCTCCCTACTGCTTTTCTCTGGCCAACCTCTGCAGGCTGGGTTCTGCCCCGGGGCTAGGCTGTCCCAGCAGGAGCAGAAAGAGGGGGTGCTTATGCTTTCCACTGCACAGGTTCCAGCAGGTTTTGGTCCCAGAGGTGATATCCAAAGGATAGAGAAGGAGACGGAAAGCAGAGAGCTTGCAGGTAAAAAAACTACGCTTTTAATTCGTCTGGGCTGTGTTGCTTGGGAGGGGCTCGGTTGTGTCTCCCAGGTGCTGCTGCTCTGGTTCCCTACAGCCCTGCCTTGCTGTGGCTGCTTCAAGTGTTCTTAAAGAGACAGGACACAATGGGGCCAGTTTTACTTACAGTTTTAAAGTCTTCTTCTCTGGCTTTACCCCTTTCCTGGCTGTACCTGTCTTTCTGGCATACCCTCTCCTGGCATACCCCTCTCCTGGCTGGCTCGCCGAAATATAATATTGTGGTTCAGGGGTTCAGGGTGCCCTCAGGTCCCCTGAGAGGCTGTTTCTCCAGTTCTTGGCCTCCTGCCCTCTCAAGAATGAGAGAGGGGACCACAGCACAGTGCACAGTAAATGCTGGACTCAGAAATGTTTGCTGAAAGTGATTTATTTGGAGAGAGAAACAGGAGGAGGAGAGAGAAGGAAACAGCTGACTTTCAGCGAGTGAGAGAATCCAGAAAGATGGAATTCAGGAGAGGAAAGCAGCTTCCACACTGAGTGGAAGGGAATAGAGACAGATGGAGTTTAGGAGGGGAAGACAGGCTTCCATAAGAGAGTGTGGAAGAGAACTCCAGAGAGGAAATCCAGGAGAGAGAAAGATGGCTTCCATGAAGGGAGTGTTCATGGAAGGGGACCCAAACATGGAGTATGAAGGGGTGTGGAAGAAGGGGACTTTTAACCTGGGAGGAACCCCCACCTTCTCTAAGACCCCAGGCCAGTGAAAGGAGTTTCTTAGAACTTCTGCTGGGGTGATTGACTCTTAGTTTCTTCCTACGCCCGCAAAATTTAAACATAAACAGTTAAATCTCCTGGATGAAGAGAGGTGGGCATGGCGCTCAGTTCTTGCGCTTAAAACTACCCCTCCTTGTGGACCCGGAGAGAACACCTTCCCTCAGTTTCAGGGTGGTCTATATTCAAGAAGAACTAGAAATACTAGAAATGACAAGATAGAGCTCAAGCAAAGAAAATGAGAATTGGATCTACAAAGGAGATAGACTGCATCACTGTGTTTGCACCAAGTCCCCACCTCCCTCGGGCTGCTCTCAGCCAGTGACTGAATGTGTCAGGGATACTAAGACAGACCCTTTCCTGGGAGATGTAAAATTCCTTTGATGGGCTGCTGTGGTTTGACGGTGCCCCGAAAAGCCTTGCCACTTTCCTTAGATGGCATGGTGGTCTGGTAAGCTTCCAGTCAACACTCGTTCCTGCCTCTATCTCACATCAGGATCAGTGGTATCTCACAGTTCTCCCAGCCCCGCCCCTGCCCTTCCCCCTACCCAGCCCTCATCCGTGCAGGCTCCCTCCTTATTTCCTCTCACAGACATTTCCCTTAATAAAATCCTTGTAACTTTAATCCCATCTGGGGTTTTACTTCTCAGAAAACCCAGACTAACAAAAGCATCTATATTCGTACAGTGCTTTATAGAATATACATATAGTTTTCCATATATGCTATGGTTTATATATGTAAATATATTTTCTCATCTGATTGTGTAAGAATTCTGTTAGGTAAGCAGGGTAGGTACAGTAATATCATTTTACAAGTTGAGAAATCACAGCTCAGAGAGTTCAAGTCCTGTGACTCTGGGAGGCAGCGCCTTAGATGACCCCAATGACTCCAGCCTCCTGGTATTCATTTCCCTGTGTAATCCCCTCCCTTTGAGGGTGGGTTGGAATTATTGACTGACTTCTAATGAATAGAATATGACAGAATGGATGGGTTATCACTTTTCAGATTAGATGATAAAAGACTTCAGCTTCCATCTTGAGTGTTCTGTGTTGTTCTCTCTGAGGGAGAACAGCTGACGTCTTGTAAGGTAGCCCTATGGAGAAATTCATGTGGCAAAAGACCAAGTTCTGCAACAACCATGTGAATGAGTTTGAAAACAGATCTTCTCTTTCCAGCCTGTCTGATGAGACCACAGCTCTGACTGACAGCTGGACCGCAACCTCATGAGAGACTTCGATCTAAGGACATGCAGCTAAGTCACACCTGGATTCCTGGTCCACAGAAACTGTGACATAATAAATATTCATTATTTTAAACTGCTAAGTTTGGAGGCAATTTTTAAATAGCAGTAGGAAATTAATGTAGTGTCCAGTGTTCAGAGTGGGTGCATAGCAGAATACGCCATTGAAATATATACCAAAGCTTTGTCTAGCTTTATTTTCTTTCATCTCTACACCAGTTTGCAAAGCCACTTTTCTCCATTCTTTCTACGAACAAACTTGAGTCACTAATTATTTTTTTTTTCAGTGGTTAGGGTCGATTAATCATTTTTGCTGGGGTAACGAACATCCCCTAAGTCTCAGTGGCTTTCAACATCAGACATTTATTTTTGGCTTGTGGGTGTGTCAATTAATAATGGCTCTAGTGGACGTTGTTCAAGTCTGTTCAGTTCCGCTCTACATATCTTCACATCCATAGTGAAGGGGCCCAGGCTAAAAGGGCTGCCCTTATCTGGAGTGCTGTTCTCATAGCAGAGACGTGAACGTAAGAGCACAAGCTGAAGCATCCAAATGCAATTACAGTTTCTGCTCGGAAGTGGAATACATCACATTTATTTACATTCTATTGGCCAAATCAAATCATTTAAGCAAGCTGATGATGTGGCAGGATGGTATATCCCCCTAGTGAGGCACGGGAAGTTACAAGGAAAAGGACAAAGGACATGGATTTTGGGTGTGGGGGAACATGAATTTATAGTACATGAGAATGATGGTTCGGAAGAATAATATGACCTATCACATATGATAATAAGTGCTTATGAATCTAGACCATAACAATTGTTGAAGAATTACTGCTAAGACATTTTGGTTTTAACTTTTCTTTGAGACAATAAACCATGGTCAGTCATTCTGGATGTGGCTTCTTTGCCAATTCCTGTTCCAAATGACAGTCTAGTATTTTCTACCCTTCTGCCCAACAGTTTTGGTGAGGATAGATCTTTTCACAATGTATCCAGTCTGGATACAAAGATCAGTGTCACCCAGACTGGAGTGCAATAGCATGAACATGGCTCACTGTAGCCCCAACCTCTTGGAATCAAGTGATCCTCCCACCTCATCCTCCTGAGTAGCTGGGACCACAGCCACTACATCCAGCTTTATTTTTTTTCCTTTTTGAAGACACAGGGTCTTGCTATGTTGCCCAGGCTGGTCTCAAATTCCTGTGCTCAAGTGATCCTCCCATCTCAGCCTCCCAAAGAGCTGGGATTACAGGTGTGGGCCATTATGCCCAGCCGACATTTTAAAAATTAAAGCATAGGGTGTAATAAATTAGTTTCTTTGGGTACCTTATGAAAACATCTATCTTCACTGAAACTGCTGAGCAGAAGGATAGAAAATACCAGACTGTCATTTGGAGCAAGAATTGACAGAGGAGCCACATCCAGAATGTCTGACCGTGGTTTAGTGATGATATTTTTTGTTATAACTTTTAGAGGTGGAATTGGTTTTTTTCAACACTATGTCCATTTAAAAGGCACTGTTTTTACTTTGTTTTTAAAATGGGCATGAAGTCCCACAGGAAAACATGAGATTTCCTTATTCTATGATCCATGAAATAGTTACCATACCCTATCAACCCTGAATGGGCCAGGAACTTATTAGAATTTCTGAAAAGTTGTTAACACTATACCTTGAAGGAAGAAATAAGAAAAATAGAAGATGCAAATCTTTTTTTTTTTTTTTTTTTTTTTTCCCACAACGAAGCGTTCCGGTAATGATTTTCCACTCTTTGCCTATCTTGATGCTTTAAATAGAGTCTAGTTTAAAAATATCTGGTATAATAAAATAAGAAATAGGCAGCCAGCAAATTAGGAAGTAGGTAAAGCTAATTAAAATAATTCTGAAGACTATCAAAGGTACTAGATTTTTTTTAAAAGAAATGCCAATATTTCAACCTTTTCTACACAATATTTTCATAGCTAACTTTGAGTTAACTTCAATGGCACCACTACACATTTAAACAAAACTATCACGGTAATGGTATGTGTTGATGTCTGGCAGTGCAGCTTAGGCTTCCTGTGTATTTCTTTCTGACAGCCCTGTACCAAAGTACAGCGGCCACAGAGGAGAAAATGAGGAAATTAACAACACAACGATGCATGTAGATGCTCAATACAAAGTCATCTTGCCGAGAGGGAGATGGTACTTAGGGATACGGCACATGTGAGGTGGAAGGTGGACTTTCTCTCCCTTTGCCTTAGGCTATCTA